TTTTTACTATCCTTGTTTTCGCTTTATCTCTCTGGCTTTCCTCTCAAAATTTTCATATATTACAATGACTAAAACAAGTACATCAAAACGTGAGTGAAGATCCCCCTCATTTTCTTAATGCAACCTCAAATCATGTTTAAACTCATATCTAATCATTAAAATTATAATCGCATTCACTTTAAACTTATATTTTATATAATTTTATATTTTTAAAGATTAAAGTAACCGATGTATGATAAAAATAAAAGGAAAAAAATTAAAAGATGTAGAGATAGGTAACACTCTACTCTCTATGCACCTAAATTGAAATTTTTAGGAAGAAAAAAAAATCTCCAATTTGGTATTTTAAAGTTATATCCGTCATCATATTATTTAATGATTAAATTAATTTTTAAAGGTTCAAATTGCAGTCACGTTAATGTTTTAAAAATTTTATCATCAAATTATTTAAAAAAATATTACCTTTTTGTGACAAATTAAACCACAAGCTAGAGACTAGCATAGAAATAAAATATTTAAAAAGCTATAATAATAACAAACAAAATTAAATAACTATGTTATATAAAAAACAATAACACAAATTTAAAAAATTACATAATTTTTTATTTTTATTTTAGGACAAAAGACTCCTGTCAATGAAAATAAAAAAAAAATTACTAAAGACAAAATGTTTAAAGTATTGGAAGAGTTTAATGTGATAAAGGAAAAGATAAAAAAGATTATTTTTTTAAAAAAAATAGTATATTATACGTGCTTATAAAATTTGAATTCTAATGAGTCTTGTTAAAATTTAATTATTATATTTAATTTAATTATTTTAATATTAAACATGACATACTTTAAACTTTAATTTAAAATAAAAACTTATTATTTTATTTAATTTATTTTAATTTGAACTTATTAATATAAGAAGATCATTAAAATTTATGTTAATGTTTATATATAAATATTATATATATAATATTGTAAATATACCTTTAATTAATTTTAAATATAATTTAAGATAAAATAAAGAATGAGCTAATTTTTTTATTTTTATTCTAATAATTTTAATTTTGTTTTTGTCGCTTGATCGTTACTTGCATAAAAAATTTATGATTGAGGTATATGTACCTAAACTTTTGAGAAAACTTCCTTTTGCACCAGACGCGAAGTAGCCAACTTCTAAAAAATAAGATGCCTACAATTTCTTCTATAACATGTATACTGTTTGCTGAAAGTTTATGAATCTATATATTTTAACATATGCTCATTGTGCGAGTTGTTTCAAACTAGAGTTCGTCATATACATATAAAGGCGTTTTTATTATGCATTGAAAGCTAATTGTTTCATTAGAAAAATAAAAGATGATAAGAATGGATCTGAAATTCAAATTAATTTTACGATTTATCTGAAGAGTCCTTATCACTCATATACGATAATATATCACAGATACAAAATCATTTACGAGCAATTTTAGTTTTATATCTTTTACACGCTTACATCATTTGTACATTAGAGAGTTGAGAACATCGTGCTCGCCTGTGAATAAGATACTTCAAGAACACTTAAGAAAGTTGAAATGGTCGATCACAAAAAACAAAAAAAAATCTTAATTCGCATCTCGATTATTGTTATTGGAGCTCTTAGTTGACCAAATGCGCTATAGAATCTATTAACTGCGTTTATAGGTCATTGTGCAGTGGAAAGAAAAGGATTGACAAGGGTTATAAAACCTGCAACATAGACAATTTTAGATTTGATGACACCAGCACTCTAGAATGCAGTACGAAAATTTCTTGGGGGAGTGTGCATGGTTGGCACATTTGTGTCGGAGGATAATTTTTTATTTTAATTGAAAATCTTGATTAATTAAATGTTTGTTTAATATAAGGATTTACTTTTTAAATTTTATCATAATCTTTTTAACAACTCGAAAGAACTTATAATAGGTTAAAGTAAAAAATATTTGTGAACTATTTTCATAAATTCATTATCATTGTTCTAGCTTTTTGAAGAACAACGAGAGGAGGAGTGCTCATCACCGTAGTTATTGGCTTTCTGCATTCAATCTCATCCACACATTATTGAGGCAAAATTTAGAAATTGTTCACTCCAGAGAGTACGACTTAAGTTTACGGGAATAGGCAACAGGAAATTGACATTGCAACTTCCCATTATTCTATTCTTGATTCGTTTTGGAAATTTGTATGTGGAAAACCTTCGCATTTAACATTAGGTGTAGCTGTTTTAGACTTTAATGCCTTAAACAACAAGCTTAAATGACAGGATATTTGGAAATTAGATGTGGGTTCTCTGAAGGAATTCAGTGCTTATATTAGAAAACTTGTCTTGTTCTTATTAGTGAACTTATGTTGCTTTTTCTCTTATTTTCTCTTTCAAGTTTTGTACTGTTTGAAAAGGAATGATGTTTTACTCGGGTATATATTATCATGCATATGTGTGTGTGTATATATATATGTAAAAAATGCACAATGAATCTAATATTATATATTAACTAAAAAAATTGAAACATTTAATTTGCGTGTCTTTTTTACTTATATATAATTTATACTTTACTTATCATATTTATTTGAGAGGTTAGCATCCGAGTTTATTTCACATTTGAAATCTCAACAATTTATAATATTAATTTACTTTTTATGAATCAAACACAAAAATTACAATAGTATTGATAAAGAACTTAAGAGCTTGTTTATTTTGAGAGATATTTTATTATGTATTTAAGCTTTGGGGCATCAAACAGTGAAAACAATAATTTTTTTATTTTGTATACTAGTCGTTAAAAAAATATCATTTTTATAATTAAAGTAAAAATAAAAATATTTTCTCATCAAAAGATCAATTCTCTAAAACCCAAGTGAAACAATTCGATGACGACAATAATAAACGGTGTTCGGGTACAAGATTTTAAGACTCCATAATATTGAAGTTTGCATATATAATGTTTTAAACAAAAATTAGGTGAGAAGATCTGGCCATTGTCTCAGCATTTATTAGTGTATAATTTACAAAGGTTGTTAGGCTCATTAAAAATTATACAAGCTGAGTTTCATTCTAAAATGAATCCATTACTTGAATTTTGGTTCACAGATTCGGTCTATTAGGTTGTTAAGACTCTTAGAGGTAGATTCAATGTACAGCACAATATTGCATTAGAGATTTTAATTGGTACATTCTAAGTGTGATGCTCATACTAAGTGAAATGCACTTCAAAACGATACTATTAAGCTCTTATGGATATAGTAATTAATCATAGAACCTTTTCTTGTGATGCAGTGATAGAATGTAATTTTCAGATAGAAACAACCGCAATTCATCGGAACTTACATTTTTGGTCTGAACTACCGGTTACTCGCACGTTTTAGAAACATCGCATCATTGCAAAAAAGATATTCTCGCAATTCTAGCTTCAAGTCCAATATTAAAACATAAAATTATAAGAAACATGCTACAATAACAACAAATATTTCCACGTGTTGATCCAACCATTTCTTTTATTAACTAACCATATAATAACAATAATATTATTATTACACTTCTCACCGCAATATTAGTTTGTATAAATTATGTACCGAACAAGATTTTACATGAAATAATTGAATATTTGTTTTTAAAAATTGGAATGCATATACTGCTGAAACTTATTAATGTTCTTAAAAGTCATTGTACATGTTGTCCCACCTAACTCTTGGATTAACTAATATGTCTTATTCTTAATTTATTTTATTTTGTAATCTTATACTCAAGTCTAAATAAATATAATTATATTAAATATTTGGAGAGTTTTTTTTTATCACCTATAATAGTTTTATCAACTTGAATAAGATTATCTCTAATACTTATAATTTAGAGAAAAATAATTATGTTTAATAAATACAACTGAATTAAATACTCGAAGAAAGAATTCTATTTGGTTTAAATAATTTTTTAATAATTATGTTTAAAATAAAAAATTACTACACATATACATTATAGTTTTTATATATATTGTTCTATTGATTGGAGCCATTTTTTAAACAGGAGTTAAAGTGAAAAAACAAGATTTTAACAGTAAGTGAAATAAAGCAAATTATTATCCATATGAAAAAAATTCTAAGAATTTAAAATTAAAAGAGATTAATATCAACTTTTAAAATTAATTTCAAGTGATTAAATATGAAAAATTTTATTGAAAAAATATTTGTTTTATAAAAATTATAGAAACATAATAAATATATTTTGATAAAATTCTATTATTTTTCAATACTTAAAATTGGTTTTATAAGTTGTTAATATTACATAAAAGTATTAAAATTATTATACTAGTCTTTATGGGTGAATCTGAAGGCACAAAGTTAATAAAGGCGTTAAGGTGACAATGGATCCCACTCCCACTTGTGAGCAATCGATAACTTTAGAGCGCAACGTGGGTTGGGATGGGTGCGATGATATTAATATGAAACCCAACATATCTTATATTATCCCATACCCCATTCCTAGCAAAGTCTAATGCAACCCACCTACTCGACCCATTGGATGAAGATATTTTTCATCAGAAAGACACCCATTATTAATTATTAATATAAAAAATGGGGGAAAAATAATAAGTGTGTAGTCTTACCACTTGCAAAGAAATTAGAAAATTGTGGCCAAAGAAAGCCTCCAACTTCAAGGCACCACCCTTTTCTGATGTCCTTAGCTTGAAAGCACGCTCTGACCAACGAGAAAAATGAGTGATGCCAAAAATCAATCTAAATTCTTGTGACCATTCGTGGTTGGTCTTCTTCAGATGAGTCTCACGCCCAGTTGTCAAAACATGCATCCTTAGCCCTTCTCTTCCGTCACCTTCCCGTGCCATTTGAAAGCGATTTTTTCAACACACAAATTTTAAGTGAAAAAAAAATTATTTTATTGTAATTTAATATTAGTATAATTTATTAAATTACAAAATAACATAAAAAATATAAAAATAACGAATCATGTTTTAAAATAATTGGAATTAAACCCGAAAGATTTTCTTTGCAGCCTTAGAAGAAGAAAGAGAGAGAGGTGGCGTTAAGGCACATAAGCTTTAAATGCGAGTTGGTTGATAGTAGTTTCTTTCAATCTTCTCTTATGGACTAAGCATTGTGAAAGAGCGCGTATTTTATTCTCATTGTTCTTCTTAGTATTATTGTTATGATATATTATTAACTCCTCCTTAAACCCAAATCTCGTGACATCACAGACCGTGCCCCCTTTGCTTATTTCATTTGTGGGTTTCCGATTAATCTCAAATTCGTGCAATTTGTGAGATACCCAGATGGATTTTGTGCCAAATCCGTGTCCTTTGCGTTCATTTGCGTTTGGGAATCTCCTTGAGAGGGTTAAGCAGCTTGGCACCCTCGCCGTTTCTGTTGTCATTGGCAACATCTTCTCCGCGATCTTGACTTTCTGCTTTGCATTTGGTTCGATTCTTCTACCCCTTTTATTAATTTCCATTTCCATCCGTTACATTTCTTGCACTAAACCTTGATCTGCTTTTGTTTTCCTCTTATTATTGGTTTTCCACTTTCCCCCTCTTTTTTTAATAATTTTTTAGGGGTGAATTGCCATTGTCATTGTTCGGTGTTGTACGATGTTGTTTTTTTTTTTTTAAATCAGGGAGTTTCGCCTGAGACTGAACTGTCCTTTTTTTTTTCTTTTGTATTTTTCGTGAGAAAAAAAAAATGAAACTTGGGACTTCTTGGTTGGATTGTTTTGTTTATGTTTTACTCATGTTGTCTTATTTGGCTGCTTCCAACTTAAAAAAGTCCAAAGTTGTGGTTCATGTTTTTGTTTCCTTAAACGTTAAGCTGTGGCATGTGCTTTCCTTTGACGGCCAAGTGGTTCTGATGGGTTGTTTTGTCTGCAGTGGGCACTTTGTTGGGGGCTTTGACAGGAGCTTTGATAGGCCAAGAAACTGAGAGTGGCTTCATTCGAGGTGCTGCTGTTGGTGCCATATCAGGAGCTGTTTTTTCCATTGAGGTGTTTGAATCCTCTCTTGTTCTTTGGCAATCTGATGAATCTGGGATTGGGTGTCTCTTATATTTGGTGAGTTACTCAGCTTTCAGGGCCCTTTCAAATTGGGATATTTTGTTGGTACATAAACTTATTGTGTAGCTACATGATTGCAATGGGATCTTTTGTTGGTTGGTAAACTTGTTTGTTGTGTAGCGTCATGATTGCAGTGTTGTAGCCACATGAGTTTTCTTTATCATTTAGAATTACATGTTGTGTAACCTAATGTCTTTGAATTATACAGATTGATGTTATTGCTAGCTTACTGAGTGGGAGACTTGTGCGCGAGAGGATTGGTCCAGCCATGTTGAGTGCTGTCCAAAGTCAGGTAATTTGCTTTTGTACAAAGGACTTATTACAGTAATGAGAATGAAATTTGCATATGCACTTACTCATCTTGCTGACATCTCTGCTTTTTCTGATCAGATGGGTGCTGTTGAAACCAGCTTTGATGAGGTTCAAAACATCTTTGACACTGGTGGTGCCAAAGGTTTGTCTGGAGATTTGGTTGAAAAAATCCCAAAGACCAAAATTACGAAGGACAACAATGTTGATGCTTCCGGTGATAGGGTTTCTTGTTCAGTTTGCCTGCAGGTTAGTTTTTATAGTTTTTCTTGTTAATACCAGTAGTAATCAATACCTTGAATGAAGTGTCTCTAAGATTGTGTTTTTTTATTTTAACATTTCTGCATTTGTCCATATCCAGGACTTTCAGCTTGAGGAGACAGTTAGAAGCTTACCTCATTGCCATCACATGTTTCACTTACCTTGCATAGATAAGTGGCTCTTCAGGCATGGTTCTTGCCCATTATGCAGAAGGGATCTGTAATTTTGTATATGCATAGCACAGCCCGTTAAAATCTATTTTTTTTGCTTTTGTTAATATGCTTATTTAATTCTAGGACTTACACTCGGTTACATCTAGTTGGAGCCATGCAGTTTGAGTGGTATCATTGTACTAAAGTAGTGTAAAGAAAATTTTGAGCTAAAACAGTTTCCCCCTGTATATGGATGAGTGAATGACCGTTTTTCCATTGTGTCTCCACTTTTTTCTCTGTTCTATTTTATTTTTACGTTACCTTTAACTTTTGGAATAAAGAACAAGACGGTAATCTAACCGTAGTGATTTTTAATATTGCCAAAGGTTGAGGAGTCTCACTTCTTTGTTTTCAATATCTGTATGTGAACTTGGTTCAAGTAATTGGTTCCTAATATTTGCTTTATTCTGAATATAAACATTTTACAAGAGTTTTTAAACCTCATTGAAGCTAAAGATTTTGCAGTTACTAGACAAAGATTGACCTTACAGGATATTAGAGATTGTGTACATTATGAAACTGGGTCCTACCCTTGTATTGATCATATTCATACAACTTTGTTTTCATATATTTTTTTTTCCAAACTTTGTTTTCACTTGAACTTCTTCACAAGCAATTATTTGAACAATTTTTGTCAAGCTATTGCCATAACAAACTGGAGCTAACCTAACAAGTGTCGGTCATTATAATCCTACAGCTCAGATGAAGCCCATGGTTTAGTGTCAATACTTTTTTATTAAGGAAATTTTAATTTTTCCAAGCTTAAATTTTGCAGTATTTTATTTAAAAGTAAGTTTATCAGACATATTATTAAACTTTTTTTTCAGATTATGTCATGATATTGTAATACTTTTCATCTTATGTAATTAAGAAACTATTCGAGTTCACTTTATTTTTTAACCATTTTGTTAGTTTTATATATGTTATAGAAAATAAGTCACCTTAAATCATTTTAACTTTTGTTGGAAACAAAAAGGATAAGTTTGAAAAACAGAATAAAAGTAAGAAGAGAAGTGTTAATAACATAATATATCGAGTGTCTGTTGACAATCTTTCTTAACTACTCTTATCTTTGTCTTCTTAAAACAATCTTAATCAAAAGGTTGTTATATTTATATTCCATTGTTATTCCTACATTTTCAAAATATAATAATTTAAAAGAACCATGTTTTGTGTCAATAATACTGGTATAAACTTCATACAAAATATTTCAACACAACAAATTGAAGACTAATTGATAAGAACAGAAGCTTACCAAAAATACAAACTACCATCGAGCCAGGAGCTTTAAAGGACAACATACTCATCATTGCGGCATTAACCTCTTCTTTAAGAACAGGATCAATTAGGGCCAAGAACTGTGCTTGACTAATCTATGGAAAATTCCCGATCCCCTGGCAATGAGGTCAGTCTCATTAGAGTAAAAAAAATTTTGATGATAGATAAAGAGTTTCCACCTTCAACCTAAAAGATTCTAATAATAGGAAAAGACCATAAATTTTATTCCTTTTACTTCTAACCAAAATCTGTGTATAAAAACTTTATATTGCGATCCCCAAATGAACCCATTTTCTCTTAGGATGTCTAAAACCAAAAATGATCCTCTGACACTACACTTCACTGTATTTCTTATGAAGTCCTTTTTCCGAATTAATAATCTCAGAAGAATCACGTTTCTTCAACACCTTCTGAACACATCTATTTCTGGCCTTTAATCATTTTTTTCCTCTTAAAAAGATGGTCCCAAAATTCTACTTTCTAATGTGTCATCACGGGATTTTTATAAGCTAGAGATGACTTCACTTCATGCTCCTCTTCAATCCAAGCTTTCCTGCACCACATTAAAGAAATACTCACGAGTCGTCTAAGCAACCAGAAATCTAAAGGGTCTATTTTCCTTATCATCTCCCATTATATAAAAACAACAAAGCAAAATAAGACAACGATCAAAACGCAATATATTAATGTTCTCCACATAAGCTTCTAGAAAGGGCCAAGGTTCTACTCAAACTCTTAATTAGAAACAGTGCATGTACATTGACTACATTTGAACCACGTAAAACGACTTCATGTCAATTGCCCAAGGTCTAGCAAATTACAATATTCCACAGTCTTAGAAAATTTAAAAGCTCTATGTATTAACATTGAACCCTCCTCCTTTCACCATTGATGGCATCAACATCTCATTAAAATCACCAAGAACCAAGGAAATTACATCAACGATTGTAACATTAATATTAGTATCCTCATATATAACACATCTTCTGCCAAAACCTGGAAGCATTGCTAAAGCCATAATATATAGGTCTCTAGTAAGACAAAGAAATGGTGTAAAGTTAATTACAAACCAAATTTTTAGCATGCCTTCTACCAGGCCATTAACTGATCACGCAATAAACATCGAACTTTGTCCACGTGCATGCAATGCACGAAGAACTAACATCAATATGCGCCACTGGAGGGTTTCCACTAATTACAGCATCATCAGTGAATCAACGTTGATCGTAGGAAAGAAAGAAGATAACTTCTGCCAATGGGCATGAATTGATCAATCTGACCGAAAAGGACAAACATTATCCACTTTTCCATGAATGTTATAGACATTGTTGATTACATAGAGGCTCTAATGACGTAGGGTTTGGTTTGTAGGTTGGACATTACATGGGTAAAGTCTCAAGGTGAGAGAGTGCAACGTCAAGGGTTGTACTCCAAGAAATTAAGACGAAAATATCTCTATAATGATTCTGAATTGCTTTGGTTTAATGATGTAAAACAAAATAACAAAAAAAGGGTTAGTGTGTTGCAGTAGGAATAGGGTAAACAGTAAAAAAAATTGAGCTATGTGTGTTTTGTTTTGTTGTTATAATCCAATGTATCGGACCAGTGGACCAAAAAACAACTTGTCAAGTTAGTCCTAAATGTTTTCAAAAAGGATCCTAAGCTGAAATTTTTAGAAGATTAATAGAATGATACGTGTAATTTTAAATTAAAGAATTGACTTGAGTTTACTCTATACAAAAGTAATCGTGGAAATATTACATTGTTTTACTTAGTAGAAAAATAATAAAAATATTGAATATATTTTCATATTTTATATAATTTTCTTTACATCATTTTATCGTGAAAAATTTTCAACTGAGCGGGATTATTTCTTTGTGTATTTGTAATGCATCAAGTCTTTTAAGGTTATATGTTCTCAAGAAAAAAAAGTAACGCTGCCAACACGTTTGTTTTTAGTTGGCACTATATTTTTTAATACATAGTATTGTTTTATGTGCACTAAAACTATCTCTATCCACAGTCAATTTAAAACTAATCCTACTTCAGATATACAAATCGCTCAAAGTAAGTCATGTTTTTCTGAACAAATATACTTCTCATTATTTATTCGAATTTATTGATTTTCATAAAATCATGTGATGCTCATTTTCTTTTTAACAAAATTTAATAATAATGTCAGACTTTTAATAAAAAAAAGTATTCAATAATAAAGAGAAGGTTAAAAAGCATATTAACACGTTACATTTTTCATCAACAAAGTCTGTACCTTTCTTTTTCTTTTTCTTTTTTTTCTATTATATGTACCAAAGGTATACACAATCACAATAAAAAAACAAGAATTTATTATTTAAAAAATAAAAATTATTGAAAAATTCTGTTTTTTTTCTCTTCAAATTCACATTTTAGAAACTACGGTCAACACGCTTAAATATCAACCGCATGTCAAATGCATTGATTTTTCTTTTAAATGAAGTCTGTTGCCATAATACAGTAAACCTATTTTTTCTAAAAAAGAAGAGAGGAAGTTTCATCCTTGGAATGAGGTCAAATAAAGAGCTCTAGTCAACCACAATAGCGGTCAAATTGTTTCTTCTTTGAAACATAAAATAATAAATAGTATTGACATGAAAATCCAAAGGCCAAGTTCTTGTTTTCCATGATTTTGTATACGTAGCTGTGTTCTTCTTCACCATTTTTGGGTTGAAATTTTAGTTGAGAAGTCTCTGGCGCACAATGCGGAGACCAGCTAACTTGGCATCATTTCCATCTTTTATATGCATAGAGGTGGGGGAGGTTCCACCAATCACCACCTTTTGATTTTGACTTCAAATGTCGCTTGTTTATCGTTCTACTGCTAATAATAATTTATAAATAAAAAATAGAATTTAATTTTAATATATAATAGATATTATTTTTAAAATTAGTTATTAAAAAATAATATTTTCAATTAAAATTTAAAAGATAACATAAAAGTTTTCAATTTTAGCATGAAACGAGTGGTTAGAAAGGACTAAACTGCCATCTGGCATGCCTCGCTCTCATTCTTGCGTCGAAGGTTACATTCAATTATACAACTTACATGTCAATTTCTTTACCCAACCACCTTTCACGCACTCTTTCTCTCTATCTTTGTTACCCCACTTCTTTACTTTTCTTATGTTTATTAGCCTGTTTAAAATAGTAAAATCATAATATATGTAGAGAATTATTATTGGGAGAATGAGAAGAATAATATAATAATGCTTTATTAAAATTACGTTTTTAATTTTGTGAATAAAATTTATTCTGTTTAAGTTAAACTAATCAAAGTTTAATGATATTTAAATGAAAAGATCTTCAAATATCAATAAAGTTTAGTTTAACAACAAACAAAAATTAGTTTAAATAACAAACGATTTAAGTATTGCTTAAGTAAAATTTGAACATTAAATCAGATAGAAAATAATATATATAAAAAATCTTCATTAGTAGACTCATTCACCATATTTAGATGCACGATCCAGATTAAACTAGATGAAAAATAATTTTTTTTTATAAAAATTAGTTTAACTAGTAAGTAAATAATTTTTTTTAATATAAAATAACTAAATTCTTTAACATGTTTAAATTTTGATTTTTGAACATGTGTATTTAAAAAATACAAAACTTATTTTAATTATTTCTATATTTTCAAAAGTAATTTCTTTAATAATTAAATAGAATGTCCAATTGACGCACAACAAAAAAAATAAAAAGATTTGAAAGTTAAAATATAAAAAAACTATAAATAAGACATGTAATTAAACAAGTAGTTAAAAATTGAAAAGCTTTACGTAGAATAATGGGAAAAAATAATGTCGGTCTTTTGGCTTTATTAATTTTGGCCAATTTTATTTAAAATATATTTGATTAAATTGACATTTTTAAATTTTCACAAAACAAAAGTAAATAAAAAGTTGTACCTTTCAACACACAAATTAATAATTAAAAACGCATTTACGAATACAGTTTAATTCATGCTTATTTAATAAAATTTTATTAACAAGATGTATATTATAAATTTATTAAAAATTATTCCAATAAAGTTATGATAATTATAAATTATTTTTAATAAAATTCGTAATTAAAAGTTTTAATTTTGAATTTAAAAAGTGTAGTAGTCATAAAAACTTTATTTAATGATTCTAAGTCTTCACTCGACTTAACTTAGTCCAAAGCAGAAGCAATTGTCCTTAAATATATAGTAGTTATCGACACACAGAAAATTATTATATCACAATATATAATAACATTCCTTTTCACTCATGAATGCGAATGGTCATGACATAAATAATAAACATTTGAGGTTGGGGAAAGGTTCAACCTGGTGCAGTTAGCCTCCCTACTAAAGTAATCGTTTTCGCCTGCAAAACCAAATTCATTATATACAAACAAGATGTTTTGGTCATCAATAGTGTTTATTAATATCTAATCATGCCAAAAGTTTATTGAAAGAAAAAAAATTACTTTTAAATAAAATCTTTAATTTATCATTCAACACTTGTATCTACGTAGACAACTTACTTTGTAGTTTTAAATTCAAGTTACAATAAATACAACTTACAATTTTTTACTAAACTCGTAAGAGTTCTATTTGACTGGTATTAATAAAAATGCTTTTGATTTTAAAAAGATCAATTAAAAAGACACTATATTTTAATCACGAAAATACAAACTAAACCAAATACCAAAAAATTTTAAGATTAACACAATATTTCACATATAATATTAAACGGGGACCCACCTTTGCCAATGTGAATCAACGATGATCATAAGAAAGAAAGAAGAGTTGGACTTTTCCCTGCAACGAGGATGCTCAACCAAACACAACCGACTCTTGATGTAGCTTCCTTCTCCATTCTTCCCTCTTTTATTTTATTTTTATTTTTATTTATTTTGTGTCCACAGACCAAAAACACGGAACCTTATTACTCGCTAACACACCCCGTAACATATCATCACTCTCTCTGGAAACTCTCTCACATCAAATAGTTAGCTTCAACTCATGGCTCAGTTTTTTCGTTCCAACCATAGCCATAACCATGCTCATAGGTGTCTCTGTATGTTGGTGTTGTTGATGAGTTTAGCTTCACAGAGTTGCCACGGTCTCCATTCATTTGGGTTTGATATTCATCACCGGTTTTCGGATCCGGTGAAGGGGATTCTGGGCAATGATGAGATACCCAATAAGGGAACTCGTGAATACTATGTTGCTATGGCCCACAGAGACCGAATATTCCGGGGCCGGCGTCTCGCCGGCGATTCTCAGACGCCTTTGACTTTTGTCCCCAACAACGAGACTTATCAGATTGGGGACTTTGGATTGTATGAACTCTTCAAACACTTGCCAATTTTTCATGACATCAAATTAATCTGAGTCTTTTCTTGGTCATAATTTTTATAAGAATTTTGTAACAGATCTATGAAAAAGATAAAGGGGTGAATATGAATATGATGTTTGTTTTTGGTAATTGAAAAAGTGCAGGAAGAGAATCATTAGGGGGATTCTATTTAGAAAAAAGCGAGACCATATAAAGTTTTTGAAAAAAAAAAAATCTTTTTTTTCCTCCTTTTCATTATTTTAATTATAAGAAATGTTCTGGTCATGATGATGTGTAGTAGTAGTAATTTCTCGTACTTATTTGAATTTCAGTTTGCATTTTGCCAATGTTTCTGTTGGGACTCCACCTTTATCGTTTCTTGTGGCATTAGATACCGGTAGTGACTTGTTCTGGTTACCTTGCAACTGTACCAGATGTGTGCGTGCTATAAAGTTTCCAACGGGACAGGTATTTTTTTTTTCTTTTAATTTATTTTTTAAATATTTTATCTGAATACTTGCTTGTTTGTAATTTATGATTGTTAGTGATTACCCTGTGTGAAACTTCAATTGCATAATATGAAGTATATCTTGATAGTTAATCTTGGTTAGATGGAACCATGTTGGCCTTATCTGTATGCTATTATTTTCCTCTTTTTATTTGCGGGTTCTTGATCAGTTGTAAACAAAACTGGCATATAGATTTGAGTTTAATGACACTTTCTTTAATACTTTTATCTGACAGAAAATTGATTTTAATATCTATGATCTTAAAGGATCATCCACAAGCCAAACTGTTTTGTGCAATAGCAGCTTATGTGAGCAACAGGGACAATGCTCTTCATCTGGTGGCAGTTGTCCATATCAAGTTAACTATCTATCGACTAATACTTCAACTACTGGGTTCCTGTTGGAGGATGTGTTGCACTTAATAACAAATGATGATCAAACAAAAGATATTGAAGCACAAATTACTTTTGGGTAAAATTCTCAACTTCTTGCTAGGATATTTTATTTGGAATGCATTTACTTATGAAGCATCGGAATGTACTTTTGGCCATATTGCATTAATCAGCTTTTGGAAGTAGGAGTATAACATTGTATACAGTGATTGAAGTGGCAAAAAGTTCACCTGTAGGAAGGTTGATGACACCGACAATAGTAAATAGTTAAACTGTTATTTCATAATCGTGGCTTATATTTGATTCTTCTTTGAAACTGCTATGTATAATCAACCTTTTTTGGTTCTTGTTTTTAACAACCTGGTCATTGGTACTTTTCATTCAATATGTTGCAGTTGTGGCCAAGTTCAGACTGGTGCCTTTTTGGATGGGGCAGCTCCAAATGGTTTGTTTGGACTAGGAATGGGCAATGTATCTGTCCCAAGTATCTTAGCCAATCGAGGACTTACTTCAAATTCTTTTTCAATGTGTTTTGGATTCGATGGTCTTGGAAGAATCACGTTTGGGGATAATAGCAGCTTGGACCAAGGAAAAACACCATTCAACCTCAGGCCATTGCAGTAAGTAATTATTATCTTTTATTCTTCTTTCCTTTTAGTCTAACTAGAAGGGCCACTTAGATGCACACTGAAACATACCAAGAAACTCAATTGGTAGTTAAATGGTCTTTGGTTTGATTCCGGTTGAGGCTTGTGGCACTGGCAAGCCTTAACCTTAAAAATCTTCAGTAAAAAGAGAGAAACATACGACAAAAGCTATAGAAGAAAATAGTAAGTCTAACTATACTAGTGCTTATTTTAACGTGGGTATTCTTTCCAGTCCTACTTACAACATCACTGTTACCAAAATTATTGTGGGAGGAGAGGTTGCTGATCTTGAGTTTCATGCAATATTTGACTCTGGTACTTCGTTTACATACTTAAACGACCCGGCTTATGGTCAGATTACTCAGAGTGTAAGTAATCTTAATTATAGTTGTTTAAGAAGGTAACTAGAGTTTCATATGACATGGCATCTTAATTTTTTCCATTATTTTTGCAGTTTAGTTCAGTGGTTAACCTACCACGGCATTCATCTTCAGCTTCTGAGGATCTCCCCTTTGAGTACTGTTATGACTTGAGGTGATTTATAGCTTCAGTGAAGTCTCCACTTTTTTGTTTTAAATCATTAAGCACTGATTTTGACTTTACCTGTAGTTCAAACCAGACGGTTGATGTTCCTATTAACCTGACAATGAAAGGTGGAGACAATTATTTTGTCATGGATCCAATAGTAACCGTTACTGGTGAGGTGAGAACATGAAATCCAACTTTGGGTTTCGTTAATGTTAATATCTAATGATTTTCAGCCCTCTTAATCTTATAAATGCTTGTGATATTCAGGGTATTAACTTACTTTGTTTGGGCGTCCTGAAAAGCAACAACATGAATATCATTGGACGTGAGTATTCTAATTGAATAAACTACAATACACAAATACATACATTTTATCTTGCAGCTTTCAATTCAGATTTGTTTTGGCAAAAATATTTTGTCAATCCATGGTTCTTTTTGACATAGCAGCCACAACTGCTATACGCTTATCAAAACTGCGTATCTGCAATATTCATTATATGTATCTTCATGCAGAAAACTTCATGACTGGTTACCGTATAGTCTTTGACCGTGAGAACATGATTCTAGGTTGGAAGGAATCTAACTGTGAGCACAATTCACTTCTACTTCTTCGCTACACTGCATCATTCCTTTATTTTTTTATTAATTATTGTTTAATGAGACATGTTATTCTCAGGTTATGATGAACTCTCTACTTTACCTACTAACCGATCACACTCCCCTGCTGTTTCTCCTGCCTTGGCTGTGAATCCTGAAGCAACATCAAACCAGTCTAATGATTCTGTAGAGTCGCCTAATCGCTCATATAAGATACAACCAATTTCTGTGTTTATGGTGGCCATTTTTCTGCTTTTTGCCATTTTTTGAGCATATCTTAGGCTATTCAGTGTTGTATTATTGATGTTAGTATTTATTTTTTTAGCCCACACGAGAGCAGCATTATTACTATTTTTTGGATTCTTAATAGCATTTATTTGAATGCGAGTTTGTAAATAATGTAAAAACATTTCAGTATAGTTATAAAAATATATATTTTCATTCTTACATTCTACAGTTATGATTGATGTCTGACTTATTTTTACTCGGTCTCAAGACTTTCAATGCAAATCCTCATTGTTGTCAATGTTAGAAATACCCATAGTTGAAAACGAACTACATGTAGTTTGCAACATTAGTTAAGCTTTTTAACTTAAGTAGATTTAAATGGATCATTAGAGGCGGGTTAAGCCTGTGAAACCAAAGCGTGATAAGAATCCAATTTCATTGATCACTTGCATTCTTCACTGCTGATGGAACCACATGATAAACAACATGTACCGTTTCTGACCCACTGAGGGTCTGAACTTGCTTTCATTCCATCTTAATTGATTTAATTTTAAACACATACTATTTTATCGTTGTTGAAAAACATTTAATTGTTCTTCCGAGTCCTTTTAGCATAGACAAGATAAGTTCAGGTAAGTTTGCTACATGAAGAATATCAACCATTTATGAATACAAATATTGACAAAAAAAAGTTATGAATACACCAGCCGCCTTTAGAAAATTGAATATAGATTTATTTATTATGCAAAGAAATTGACTTCCAACAATTGACATAAATATTCGGTGTTATTTTAAGCCAATTATTATGGAGAAATAGTCAATTATAAACTAGAATTCAGCACACCTCTTCCATCTACAATAAATGTTTGTAAGAAAATGAAGTACTACAGCAGAAAAGTTTTAAATTTTGTGGGTCGGCGGAATCAATTACAAAGGTTCAACGATAGGTGCAAAACATGGACCATTAATACCTCTTATTTGCCCCCCAACCCACAACATTCTTACCCTTTTGCCCTTACCTCTTCAAATTTTAGATTATCAAGAACAATATGTTTGGATATAAATTATTTCTCCATTTCATCGTGTAAAATAAGATACACAACAGAATAGATACGTATAAAGATAACTCATAATGTTCATCGATGACTTTTAATCTAAAAATTAATCAACAGCTCCATTAAGACTAGTTAATAATATTATTCAATTTTATGTAAAATATTAATTTACTGCTTTGAAGCACAGGTACGCCTCTTTCCATAGAGTATTGATACGGGTGTGCCCTCGGTACCAACCGGGTACATACCTAGAAAATATTTTTTAAAGAAAAAACTTAAGTGCGGGAAGTGAGATTTTTAGACAATTTTTAAAGTTTTAAATTCTTTTATAGCTTAAAAGTTTGACTCATTTCTCTTTCTCCTCACATACTCGTGCAACCATTGCAACACCTTACTGAGATTTTTTAAGTTGCTAATTTTTTAACACTATTAAAGCTTAATTTTTTACTTATATTTTAATATTGTCAAGTTAAACAATTTAAATACAATAATTTTATATTATAAGATGTTTTATTATCTTTGTAAATAAATATATGTTTCTTTTATGTATATTATATATGATATGTTAAAATTTGTGTGTTTTTATTTTATAGATAATTTTTTTTATTTTCTTAATCGTACTGCCCTATCTTTCTTTTAGAAAATGCCGTATCCTGTGTTAGGTGTCCATGCAACCCAACATAGATTTACAGTGATTCAAAAAATGGAGCACCAAGGACACTGAAACACCCTATCCGTACAATCTCAGTCCAGATGGAACAATATAATCCTCGATCCAGGTGCAGGTAAATTATATAGCAGATGAATACAAAGGTGAAAATGACTTGATGATGCACATCCGAAACCTGCCTCACATGCATTTTCCTCGAAACCCCTAGTAATTAAGGTCAACAACGTGAAAATAACCTCCACCGCTTCCAAAAGAGCGAGACCCAACGTGAAAATAACATGCAAAAGAAGAAGAAATATGAAACATTTAAAGACAAGAAACAAAAAGATTATGTAGAACAGGAAAGAAGAAGACACGTGCAGAACAAGAAACAAGAAAATTATGCAGAAGATGTAGAACAAGAAACAACAATAAAAACAAGAACAAGAAATGTGCAAAAGAAAAAGAGAAAACTTGAAAGATGCAGAACAAGAAACAAGAAGAGGAAGAAAGAAGAAACATGCAGAACGAGAAAGATTTAGAAGAAGAAGAAATATGAAAAAATGCAAAGCAAGAAGCTCAAGTAGAGCTAGAAAAAAGACCAAGAAACAAAAAGACAATGTAAAACAAAAATAAGAAGAAGAAAAGAAAAAGAACAAGAAACATGAAGACCAAGACACAAGAAGAAGCGGAGGAGGAAGAAACGTGCATAACAAGAAAATCATGTAGAAGAAGAAAAAAGAGAACAAGAACATGGAACAAGATGATCATGTAAAACAATAAAAACAAGAACAAGAAATATGAAACATGTACAACACTAAACAAAATCATGTAAACAAGAAACATCTAAAATGCTAAACATATAAGATCGTGTAAAAGAACAAGAACAAGGAACATGCAAAAGAAGAAGAAAAACATGAAGCAGTAGAAACAAGATCATGTAGACGAGAAATAAGAAAAAAAAAATGAAACATGAACAACCAGAAACAAAAAGATCAAGTAGTAGTAGTAGTAGTAGAAGAAGACAGAACAAGAAATATGCAGAAGAAAAGGAACAAGAAACATAAAACAAGAAAAAAAGAATAAGAAACATGAAAACCAAGAAACAAGAATAAGAGGAGGAAGAGACGTGCACGACGAGAAAATCATGTAGAGGAAAAAGAAAACAAGAATATGAAACACGAAGATCATTGAAAAGAGAAAACAGCATTAAGAACAAGAACAAGAGATATGCAAAAGAAGAAGAAGAAACATGAAACATGCAGTAAAAGAACAAGAAACGTGAAAAATGTTGAATAGGTAATAAGAAAATCATGAAAAACAAGAAAAGAAAAGAACAACAACAAGGAACAGGTAAAAGATTATTAAAAAGTGCAGAAGCATAAGGAACAAAAGACAAAAAGATCTTGTAGAACAAGAAACAAGCAAAAAACGAACGAAGAACACGTTACAATAAGAAGAAACATGCAATAAAAGAACAAGAAACATGCAAGAAGAAGGGGAGGAAGAAGAAAATAACAAGAAACATAAAACAAGCAGAACAAGAACAATGAACATGCAAAAAAGAAGAAATATAAAACATGCAGAACACAGTACATGTAGAGCAAGAAAAGAGTAAGAAAAACAATAACAAGAAACATGCAAAAGAAGAAAAAGAACAAGAAACATGAATCAAGAAGAAGAACCAGAACAAGAAACAAAAATAATCATAAGAACAAAAAACATGCAAAACAAAAAAAAAAGAGAAAAAAAGAAAAACAAGAAACAAAAATTCGAGTACAGCAAGAATCATAGAAGATCTTCCAGGAACAAGAAACAAAAAGAACAAAGAACAAGAAATGAAACAATCATGTAGAGCAAGGGAAAAAAGAACAAGAAACATGAGCAGACAAGAACAAGAACCAGGAAGCATGCAAAAGAAGAAACAAGATTGTGCAGAACAGGAAATAAGGAAAAAAAGAAGAAGAAGAAGAAGAAAGTCGTGTAGAACAAGAGCAACATGCAAAAGAAGAAGAAGAGCAATGAAACATGAATCAAGAATGAGCAAGGCAAGAAACAAGAAGAAGAAAAGAACAGGAACAAGAAACAAGAAGAAGAAAAGAACTAGAACAAGAATGAGAAGAAACATGAGCAGAACAGGAAACAAGAACAAGGAGCATGCAAAAGAAGTAGAAACATGAAACATGCAAAAGAAGAAAAATCATGCAGAACAAGAAATAAGAAAAAGAAAAGAAACAGGAAACATGAAAATCAAGAAACCAGAAAATCATGTAGAAGAAGAGGAAACATGATAAAGAAGAAGAAAAAGAACCATGAAACTTGAATCAACAAAAAGAAGCAGAACAAGAAACAAGAAGAAGAAAAGAACCAGAAACAAGAAATGGACATTTACTTCGATCTTGTAGTTACTCTAATATTTCTCTCTCTAATCTCAAATCTACTTCCTTCATACATTGCACACTGAATAAACGCATCAAAGTTTTGTTTGTTTATATAATTTAGGAAGAAAAAAGAAAATGTGACTTCACTCGTTTGAGAAATAAGAGATGAAAAAAATTACTTGTAAATTATACAAGTGAGATGTGATAAAAACTTCTCTCAACTACGGGTAAAAAAATTAATATATTTTTCAAAGGTTTTGTTAATATGAACTGAGTGGATGTCAAGTATTTAAAATTGACAATTTTACATTAAAATAATACATTATAGTTATTAAAAATGTAATAGTACAATCAATTATTTCAAATAAATTTTATTGTTTTTATATAAATAAAATAAATTTTAAAAATAGGTGTTAATATTGTTTGTTTTCAATATCAAACTCTCCCTTTATAAATGCTTTTCCTCTCTAAAATAAAGGTCAAAATATATTCAAATTTTCGTAAATAAAGCCAAATTATATCATGCAAATAGACATATCATATTATATGTCACCTCGTAATAACAATCGACTATATATATTTAGATGCGTGTAATGTTATCATTGAATGGCAATAAAAACTATTTTAAAAAAAATTAAAAACTTATGAAAAATATAATTAATAAACAAATGAAAACCAAAATTTTGGTCGTATGCATATTGAATGTATATTTAAATCTAAAATAAAAATATATTGTTTTACACAAGGATAAAAATAATTTTATAATACAATATTTTTTATTTCTTTCTTATTTTTCTATTCAACTAAAATCAAAACTTCTTTACGTTGTTTGAGTTAAGAGAGAGGACGAGAGATTGTTACAGCTCATTTACACATTACTACTTTAAAAATAAAATTTTGGCTTTGAAAACATGTTTAATTTATTTGGATTTTTTTGCTTTAAGAATTAGGTTTTAAAATAAAATAAAAAAGCATTATCAAATAAGTTATTTTTCCATTTTTTTCTATTTTAAAAATAATTTTAAAAACTGAAATCCAACATTCCCTAAATTTCTAGCAAAAATGAATGCTTCAGAAGTTTCAAACGGTTGGATGCTTTTATTTAATTATCATTCTTAGAATCTCACAAGAAATTGTTATAATAATTAAATAAAAAAATAATAGCATTGTTAAATTGAAAGATATAGCATTTCTCCAGAATCAAAACTATAGCTTCATCTTACAGCGGGTTTCGAAGAAATTCTTCTCATTGCAGACTAAAAAAATACATGATTCAGGACAATTATTTTTCCTGACAAAAAAAGGACAATTATTTTTAAAGTTAGAAATTTCCCTTTTGCCAAAACGCAAACCTTTAGAATTCTAAAAACAAACACGTTGTAGGTAGATTGTAATTACAAACGATCAACTAACTTATTTACATTTTCAACCCACAAGTGCACAATGGTATCTCACATATATCCTTAGTACAAAGCAATCACGTTCAAGATTATGGCGCATTTCTTAATGAATTCAAACATAATTAATCACTTGTTAAGAGTACACAAGAGGCTAATTACATGATTATACATGGCCCTATGCCTCGGTTTATTCAATAAGCTATTTATTTCAATAAAACAAAGGAGGAAAAAGACACAAAATTATTAGATTCCTTTGAATTATAATCCACATCGACAGGAAAGCACCTCCAATTATTATATCTTTGATAAGACCTGACTACCATCATAACAAAAGAGACTTGCATTGCAAGCTTTGGCATCAGAAAACGAAATTACGATGGACAACCTTAACTACCGCTTACATTCCTATAACCTAGCACGGTTTCCTATATTTTTATGGTTGATTTGGTTGGTAGTGGTCAGACTGAGTGACCCCTTTTAGGCTCCATTTTGTCATGCTAAAAAAAATTAAAATTATATAATTAATATAAAAAATTACAGGACTGTTTAAAAATATCACATTTTTTATATTTTAATTATAGTGTGACTAAGTAAAAAAAATTGTCATGTATTAATTTATAATGGAGTCACGTGATCTTGAGGGATCAAAAGTGATATATGTTTAAAAAAAATTTCATGTATTAAAATTTTATAAAACTAAAGAGACTAAAATTACATTTAAATTAAAAAAATATATGTTTTTTTTTTAAATTGATCCAAACATAACAATGAAATAAAATATGATATGGCCCATAGGCTAATGACCTAAATTTCCATCAACAGCCTAAACTGCATTACCACAAGCGTTTGGTGTGAGAAAATGCTCACAGTAAAATTAAACATTTAACTTAGAAATCACACACTTTTTTTTTACAAATTCTTCATTCTTATTTAATATTTATTAAAAATTATAAAAGTTATTTAGATTTCATTACTTTTCACTATTAAATAAATAATTCTTTTTCATACTTTTATATTTTTTTAATAAATTTTAATTATTAGTTAGAAATATATTAACGAGAACATTCCTCAAATGATAACAATGTAGCTTGAGGCATGACATTGTGACCTTACCCATTATGCTCACTGCTCATTAAGAGTGAAGACCATGAAATTATAGCTCAAGTGTGGATTTAGCTTGAATATGTAATTAATTTATTATAATTGAGAGTAACATGCTCCACACGATAAGCCACACATAGCTACCAAAGGCTTGAACAGATGAACCTTCATTCAGTCCACGGAGCATAAAGTGGGTTGTCTTTTTGTAATGAGAATGCTTCAACATTACTACTCCATTGACAATACTACTTAACGAATTGATTATCTAGGGCCATATAATCTCATGCAATAATTAATCTCTTTTATCTCTATAAAAACCCATTTAACTCATCTTTGATTTCCACGGCTAAAAGCTACAAATCATCAAGTACTCAAATTGACATGGCTGTCATGGTTGCATTCTTGAATTTGATCATCATCTTTTCATTAGTTTCTACAGGCAAGTCACTGAGCTCAAACTACTATGAAAAAACATGCCCTGATCTGGAGTTCATTGTTGCCAAGGCAGTGGAGGGTGCCACTGCTAGGGACAAAACTGTTCCAGCAGCACTTCTAAGAATGCACTTCCATGATTGTTTCATTCGGGTAATTCTACTTCGACCCCCTGCCTTCCTCATGACTGTTTCAGTTTCATTTGATGCATCAATTTATCAAATCATATTGTTTTCTTTCTTTCTATACTCTTGAAGGGGTGTGATGCCTCTGTGCTGCTAAATTCAAAAGGAAACAACAAAGCAGAAAAAGATGGACCACCAAATTTTTCTTTGCATGCATTCTATGTCATTGATGCAGCAAAGAAAGGAGTAGAAGCTTCATGCCCTGGTGTGGTCTCCTGTGCTGATATCCTTGCTCTAGCAGCAAGGGATGCAGTTTATCTGGTAAGAAAACTACGTTAGGTACCAAATTTCTCATCATTCAAACTCTAAACAATTGTTATGTCTTCGAGCTTTGACAAATGCAGCTATGTTAACATGTATTTGCAAGTTTTGACTAATGGTATGCCTAAGTATGTTCTACAGTCCGGAGGACCTAGATGGGATGTTCCTAAAGGAAGGAAGGATGGAAGAACATCTAAGGCGAGTGAAACCAGACAATTACCAGCGCCAACCTTCAACGTATCACAACTGCGGCAAAGCTTCTCACAAAGAGGACTGTCAGTGGATGACCTGGTTGCTCTGTCAGGTATGTTATTCCTAAAGTCAAAACTGAAAAAAAGTGTCAACCATTTTTGATTTATTCCAATTTATATCTGAGAATAGTTTGGAGTAACATGTCGTTGACTGATATGTAGGAGGGCATACTTTGGGTTTCTCTCACTGCTCATCTTTCCGGAACAGAATCCACAGCTTCGATACTACACACGATGTGGACCCTTCATTAAATCCTTCATTTGCAGCAAAACTGAAGTCAATTTGTCCACTAAAAAATCAAGCAAAAAATGCAGGCACGACTATGGACCCTTCAGGAACAACTTTCGATAATACATATTACAAGTTGATCCTCCAACAGAAAGGCCTGTTTTCTTCTGATCAAGCGTTGCTCGATAGCCCAGACACCAAATATCTGGTTAGGAAGTTTGCCACCTCACAAGAGGTATTTTTTGAGGCTTTTGCCAAGTCCATGATCAAAATGAGTAGCATCAATGGTGGGCAGGAGGTTAGAAAAGACTGCAGAGTGATCAATTAAAAAGTCAAATTTAATTCAAGTTAAATTGATCTTCCAAACAAGCTAGAACTACGAAGTTGGTGGATCAGGTTTTCATGATAGCAACAATGTTATGCTTTATTTTTTTTGCTCTATGAAAGAAATATATATATTTACCACAATTTAAAAAAATCTCAAGCATGTCTTGGGAAATTAATTTAGAAGTTAATTATAAAATAGTATCATTTTGGTAGTCTCAAGTGAATAAGTGATGAGTCAATAAAGGTCCCGCTCAGACACTTGAACTCGGCACCCCAGCTTAATCATATTATAGTCAGGAATGTGCCTAACAAACGCAACTTACCAGAGAAAACGGTTTGGAGTAGCAGATAATAAACCATATATCGGTCATGAATCTCATGATATTTTTCCTCAAAAGTAAGGGGAGATTTTGTCACAGATATATGCAACGTAGCTTCAAAGAAGAGGGAACATTACTGGTGCAAAGTTTACTTCTAAGCACAGTCCATGCTTGAGCGTTCTTTCCATTTACATCCCAAAACAATATTTGGTTGCTAATGTCGTTTCTGATATATAAGAATGAAATTTTGTGAAGAATGCAACAGTTTTCCTTGCAAAAGAATATTGTTAAAGAACATATCTAGTGATTTTTAAGAATAAATTAAATCAAGCCCAAATGTAACTTGAAAACCTATTGAAATAATAAAACTTGAGAATTCCTCAACAAGTACCGTACCGGTTCCCCATCCATAAAAATTCCTACTTGCTACCATCTCTTAACATTAAGCAACCACAAAATAAAAAGGGAAACTGTTTTTTCTAAATCTAATGTATAGCACAGAAGTATGATATTCGTTTTAGGAGGCATGCCTGTAGGATGATCATGTCCTGTTCAATTGCTTGATCATCTAGACATGGGATGGAATTTTCTGAAAGCAACAAGAAAAACATAAACAACAGCAGCTGTGTGAAATAAAAAAACTGTCAAATTTTATCATAAAGCTTTGAACTACCTCAAGCATTGTCTTTTGAGATAAGAGCTATCTCTGCCAATTGAATGTTACCACTTAGTAGTGATGCTTTGTAGGATGGCAGGAAGGAAAACCCATCAAGAAGCTTGAGACATTTTAAGCCCCATTTCACCATCAAGAACTCAATAAGATGATGCCCGCTGCAAAAGATAGAAATGTCAGATGCAGGTTGCAGAGCTAGGACAAAATTTCCTCACAGGTTGAGCATCGCATAGAATGACAAATACCTTCGATTATGGTATGAAGTTATAAAAATTGACTCGGGAGAATTTCGGAGCAGAAATGTCACAGTGGCAAAGAGGTCATCAAAGGCTAAATAATTTAAAAGAAAGAATTCTTTAGTCCAATCCAGAGAGGAAGGTGACAAATAACTAACACAAACAACACATCCCATAATCTCACCATTTGAATCATACAACACATCAGCCCCTAAAATAATTGTCGGCTGTAAACTGAATATGGATGAATCCCAAACTCCCCATGTCAATCCTAACACCTACAATATGATAAAATTTCAACGTCCTGTAGACATACATAAGCAGTGGTTGACACACGTCCCCACCTTTGGGAAAATCCATGCCATAAACACAGTACTGTTATAGCATGCTACAAAAACATTAACACATTCAATCATGCACATTTTTACCAAGGGCTTCGATATCTGGAAAATATTGAAACAGTCACTATAGTGATAACTTACATTGCACTCGAGTTTGTTCAAGTCACAAACTCTTCTCATGTTGTCAAGCACCTGAATATCCAAATAAGCAGCAGTCATCATAACTTTCAGGATCCAGGCCATTGATTTAATTATAAGGTTGCAACAATCATATGATAATACTACACCTTCCATTTTTTCATTCTAAATTTTATAAAAATTATTAACTAACTTTCCATTATATCCTCAATATATTATATTAATTATTTCACTTATTTATTATCTTTTGCCGAACAAACATCAGTTATTAAGAGTAAAATTCTAAAACAAAACCATAAAATTAACTGTTCATCGACAAAGTGAACCAAAGCAAAATTACTGAAGTATGGAGGGAAAAAAGAAATATAATATATAAAATACCTCTAATCTGGTGGAGTCATCTGACAGAGTGACACGAGCACCGAGTTTTGCTGCAACCAAACCAGGCAAGGAAGTTCCAGCACCTAGCTGCATGAAAATGATAAGAAAGCATGGAGAATAAATAGCATATAACTCACGAAATTGAAATCAGACCTCAACAACAGTGGCTCCTGAAAATCGGTGCTTCTGTTGCCAAACATACTCTGCGAGAACAACGCTGCAGGGCCACACGAATAGGCCGTAGTCCTCCTTCATGTTCTACGTTTGAGTCACGAAAATAACAGAGAATATTTGTCAGTTGTTTGGGAAATTGAGAATCGACGAGTTGGTTTGGGAAGTGGAGGACCTCGATGATGGAGATGCAGAAGCTTGGCCTTTCAGAGTCTTCGCCGAAACAGTGCCGAGAAATGGTGGTCATTGTGAGGGTGTCATCGGAATGTTCTTCTTCATCGTCCCAATCTTTCTCTTCCATCTCTACCGCGGAGACGAATTCAACTCAAACCTCCAAATTGCGCTGTGTCAGGTGAGTTTAAAATAGGGTCGTGTCACGAGTCATGGAAGCATACTGTTAAAAATAGTTAATCTCAGTGAACAACAAATATCTACACTGTAGTAACAATTCTCTAATATTTGGTTAAGAGGAAAATAAATTACTGGCTCTACTTAAAATAACAATTCTTCCAAAATTGATTTGCTAGCCTTAAAATTGACTGTAAAGGTAAATCAAACGGACACTTTATTTATGGGCCAATGTGAAAAAAAAAAGCATGGACACTTTATTTATGGGTTAAAAAATAGCCCAATTTTGTTATAGACATATTTAGGCCATATATGAGAAGTTTTGTGTAAAATTTCCATTTCTGATATTTATTAAGAATAAATTTTAGGTGTAGCTGTTTAAGTATTTTAGTATTATTTATTAATTAAAATTTTATTTTAAAAAAATTAATTTAATATAATCATAGATTATTGAAGTAAAACTTGATTTTTTATTAATAAAAAAAATTCTAAAAATACCTCAAAAAGATACACCTAAATTTTTGTTGAAAAAATTGTCCGAATTACCGGACCGCAAAAGGTGTTACGCAATTTTGAACTCTAATTATTGGACATAAGGCCCAATGTCCTCCAAATAAGGAAAAAGTATTTTGCATAAGTGTTGGTCCTCCTGTTTTCATTTGTTAACTGGCTAGTCCTTAAAAACTTCAATCCCAAATTTGACATGTGAGTATAAATATGAATGATTGATTTTGTTGGAACATGAATATCACACACATGTACATTTGGACACAGACTACTTAAGAAATGATGAAGAAAATCTTATTATTTCACTTAAAAAATAATTACACACTTAAGGATTTATACATCCGATCTAGACTAACAAACCTACATGGTTAGAAACAGACTGCACAATTGAATAGCACCTTTCTTGTTATTTTTGAATTACATTTAACACCCTCTCGAAATTTAAAAATCTGAGATTCATATCAAAATTCAACAACTCCAAGCCAACTCCTTGCCTCCTCGAATCTGCTCTTTAAAACTAACTTAGTTAGCAAGTCTGCAGCTTGCTCATCAGCTAGACAATGTTCTAATTTGATAAAACCTTTGGCAGCTTGCTCTCTTAGATAATGGAAACGAGTCTCAATATGCTTACTTCTGCCATGAGAAACAGGATTGTTAGCAAGATTAATTGCAGATTGGTTGTCTACAATAAGTATCATTGGTATCTTGACTTGAGTCTTCATCTCCTTTAGGATTGATCTCAACCATTTGGCTTGACATGCAGCATAACATACTGCTATATATTCTGATTCACAACTTGACAGTGCAACTAATGGTTGCAACTTTGAACACCAGGAGATTGGAGCTTCAAGAAACATGAATATATATCTAGTTGTGCTCCTGTAATGATAATCAGTGTCAATCTTGATTTCTTCCTTTTCACCAGCATGATCAGCATCACTCCAACCAAGCAAATCACCTTCAATCTGGGTTAATCTTGTTGGGAACAAAATACCAAAATTCAAAGTTTCTCTCAGATACCTAATAATCCTCTTAACAGCAACAAAATGTAGCTCCTTAGGATCACTCATGAATCTGCTTACAAGACTAACTGCAAAATTGATATCTGGCCTAGTATTGCACAAATATCTCAAAGATCCTACTATTTGCCTGTACTTGGTGCCATCAATTGGATTTCCTACATCATGACTAGTTAGCTTCACATTAGACTCAACTAGAGTTGTTGTTGACTTAGAGTTCATCATGTCAAACCTCTTCAAGATATCAGTAATATACTTTCTCTGATGAACAATGATTCCTTCTTTGGTCCTCATGAACTCCATGCCAAGAAAATTAGCCAATTCTCTAAGATCAGTCATTTCAAATTTCCTCATCAACTTCTGCTTAAACTCTCCAAGTAGTTTATGATTACTTCATATGATTAGTAGGTCATCTACATAAAGACAACACAGCAGTACTTCACCCTTTCTCTTTTCTTGCACATAAACACTATATTCTACTGAACACTTACTGAAACTAAATTTAAGCAAAAAACTATCAATCTTCTTGTTCCAAGCTTTAGGAGCTTGTTTAAGTCCATACAAAACTCTCTTTAACTTGTACACATCATCTTTTCTTCTTGCTACCTTAAAACTAGGGGGCTGTGTAATAAAAATTTCCTCCTCTAATAGTCTATTCAGAAATGCAGACTTAATATCAAGCTGCAATAAGGGCCACTTCCTTCCACATGCAAGAGCAACCACCAGCTTGATAGTTTCAATCCTACCTATAAGAGCAAAAATTTTGTATAGTCAATACCTTCTTTCTAAAGTAATCCTCTAGCAACCAATCTTGCTTTGTGCTTAGAGATAGATTCATAAGATTTCAGCTTGAGTTTAAAAATTCATTTAACATATATTACCTTCTTTCCCTTTGGTAAAGTGACCAACTCCCAGGTCTTGTTCTTCTCAATTGACCTTAATGCTTCAATCATGGCAACTTTCCACTCATCTACCTCAAGAGCTTCTTTGAAGTCTACTGGTTTAGTATCTACCATGAAGGCTAAATGCAAAAGTTCACCTTCTTTAGTGATATCAGCATCAAAAAACAACTCATACCCTTCTAACCTGGTAAAAACTTGTCTATTCCTTTGAGATCTTCCTTGTATTTGTATATCAGCCTGAATATCAACATCCTCCTGCTGTTCTTCAAGACTTTCTTGTTCAGTTGCTGGGAATTCACCTTGTTCTTCACAATCTTCAGCAAAGATTTATATCTTCTCAGTTTTATCAGACAGATTCAGTGGACTATTCTCATCAAAAACCACATCCCTATTGACATTGATTCCTTTTGTTGCTGGATCATACAATTTATAGCCACCTGTAGAATGATACCCTACAAAGATCATCACTTTGCTCTTATCTTGCAATTTCCTCCTCTTCTCATCAGGAACATGCATGTAACAAGGAGAACTAAACACTTTTAAGTGAACTACACTTGGTTTCTTGCCAAACCATATTTCTTCAGGAACCTTCTCCTTCAACTTCTTTGTAGGACATTTGTTCAAGACATACACTGTTATAGTCATTATCTCTCCTCAAAAGGTGTGTGGCAAATTCTTCTGTTTCAACATACATCTTGCCATATCAAGCATTGTCCTATTTCTCCTTTCAGCCAACCTATTGTGTTGAGGAGTATAGGGTGGTGTAACCTCATGTTTAATTCCTTCATTTACATAAAATTACTCAAACTCATTGGAGGTATACTCACCTTCACCATCTGTCCTCAAAAAATTTACAAGCTTGCTAGATTGTCTTTTAACAAGTGCTTTAAACTGTTTGAAGACTTTTACAAACTTTCTTTGGAAGATCTACTACAAGGAGCCCATTTACCATAGACTTTTCACTCAGCTGTTTCAGACTTCTGAAGTTCAGATGTCCAAATCTCCTATGCCATAACCAACTATCCTTCTCATCAACTGTAGTTGTCATGCAATCAGTGTCACCTCCATGAAGATTCACCTTAAATGTTCTATTCTTTGAAATAGGAGTTTTCAGAGTCAGCCTTTTATCAAGATCAAACAATTCCATCATATTATCCTGCATTACCACTGAAAATTTCTTTAAAAGCAATTGACCTAAACCCATCAAATTACAATTCATACCAAGTACCAATAGCACTTCCTCAATCAATGCTGATTTGCCTTTTTCTCTTTTGATCATGATATTTTCCATGCCCACAGCAGTAACGGTTCTCTCATCTACAAACCTGATTATTGTTTTTCTTAACAGGTCTAAGTCACATAGCCAATCCTCATGACAGGTCATGTGATTGGAACATCTAGTATCTAGGTACCAGACTTCTAATTTAGGAGTTTCATTAGTAATTGTCATCATCAACAGTACAGGCTCCTCTTTAAATGATTCTTCCTAAGCCAAATTAGCAGCTTCATTCTTCTTCTTATTCTATTTTCCTTTACGAAACTAGCACTTATAAGCAAAATGTCCACGTTTCTCACAATTCCAACACTGAATTTTCCTTCTATCTCCCTTAAACTTTTTAAATCTGCCTTGATTCTTATTACTCATGTTGCTACTTTCAGATTTCTCATTTGAATCACTTTCAACTGAGTCACTTTGTGGCTTCTTATTGGACCAACCTTGTTGGAAATTTTTACCCTTCCAAGTTTGTTTCTTCTTTTGCTCATAACTATCAGTTTTCTTTGAAGATGCTAGCAAAGCTTGATCTACTTGTTTCTCATTGCCATCCCTCTTCTGCAACCTTATCTCATGTGCTTCTATAGAATTTTGTAACTCTTCAAGAGTCATTTCTTCTAAATTCTTAGACTTTTCTATTGCAACAAGTATATGATCAAAATGAGAGGTAAGAGTTCTAAGTACCTTTTCTATCAAATTTTGATCCTTTAACACTTCTCCATAGGACTTCATCTGATTTGTAAGATTGATCAATCTTGCAAAGAAATTTGCAACTTTCTCAGTACCCTCCATCTACAGCAACTCGTATTGTCTTCTCAAATATTGAAGTCTCACTCTCTTGATCTTTTCATCACTAGCATAACTTTTCTCAAGTGTATCCCACGCTTCTTTGACAAATATGACATTTGCAATTTTCTCAAAATTCTCATTATTCACACACTAATGAATTAGGTACAAAGTTTTTTAATTTTTCTTCTTTTGTTTTTTGAACCCAGCTTTAACAGCATCAGAGGAACCCTCAGTTGGTTCTTGAATCCCATTCTTGACAATCTCTATGACATCTTGAAAATTGAACAAAACCTTCATTTATATGCACCATCGCGACCAATTCTTACCATTGAGGATCAGCAAATACCCTGGAAAACCACCATTGCAGTTCGAACCAACCATGATAAGATATGCCCAAGATCACAGCTTCACACGTTCTTTAGTTTCGCAGCGGAATGATGAAATCGAACCAGTGCTCTAGATACCAATTTGTTGGAACATGAATATCACACACATGCACATTTGGATAGAGACTACTCGAAAAATGATGAAGAAAATCTTATTGTTCCACTTAAAAAATAATTACACACGTAAGAGTTTATATACCCAATTTAAACTAATAAACCTAAATGATTAGAAACAGACTGCACAACTGAATAACACCCTTCTTGTTATTTTTAAATTATATTTAATAGATTTATCGTAAAATAAACAGTATTATATTAGTGAATTTTATACGATTTCACAAATTTAAAACTATTAAATTATGTGAATTTTCAAAAATAGTTACATGAATTTTAAACAATTGGGTATAAATTTTTACACGTTTTAAAATTTGACAACTTGTATATGAAGTAAAATGCTCTTGATTCACGCGTTATTTCATATATGCTCTTTATGACTGCGCTGAACTTGGCTTATGTAGAATAATTTTAGATGTTATTTACTGTGCGTGCATCTTGAGTTTTTTAAAAATGAGTTTTAATTCAAGTGACTTATGAAAAACCATGGACACGTGAATATTTTAGTGATATTGATATATTCGAAAGGCGGTTTTGTTAGGTTTGTGTGCCCATCATTCAGTCTACTTATGCTCACGTTGACATAGTTTTGGAGTTCTTTATTTCATTATTATTATTGGGACCACATTGTATAATGAAAAACCTGATAAGTTATAGCAAGTTTTTAATTCTACACGTAAACTTCAAAATGAAAAACTAGCGAATTTACAAGAACCAAGTAAGAACTTATTCTCTTATTTCCTACCCTTATTGTTAATATATAAAGTTATTCATATACAAATAAAACCTTCAATTCTGGCGAAACGGGACACAAGTGACTAGGAAGATGATATTTATTTGCACATTACTAGGAAGTCATGGCTGCATACACCATGTTGTTTCGTTTTACTTTTCCTTTCAACGAAAATGCAAGAACCTTTTTTGTCGCTTAAGAAAATCACGACCACACTTGAAAAGTAATTATATTAGTTGAAAGAATTAATTCAATAATTCAATTTCAAATAGTAAACCATATGTTAAATTAAAATATTAAACAATAAATAAACGAATTGATTTTACTTGTATTCAATTATCTTATCGTGCTTAACGGTTTGACAAAAAAAATATTGTAATAAGAATCGAAGACAAATCCGCTTTAGTTAGAAAAGAGTGGGAAGGAACAGCAACAACAGTCACAGTAACTGGCCAACGACGCAAATAAGCAAAAGTCGTAACGGAAAGAGAATGGAAATAACAAAGGGGTATTTTGGTAAACTCAAGCCTCACAGAAGAAGAAAGCCTGGCATCCGAAGCATTGCACAATCTTTCGTCTGAAACGCATTCTTTTTTTTTTCTCCCACGCACCCACAACAGAAGCGAAACAAAGTTGTTCTTCGCTGCGATCAGATCGCTCAAATTTTGGAACCCTAATCTGCTACATTTGGTTTTGAACCTCCAAAACACTCTCTGCAAATCGAATCCTCTTCCTCACGTCGATCATCTCGTCGACTCGTTCATTAACCCTAAACATTTGTGGTTATACATGGCCATCACTGGTAACCATTCCCCTCGTCATTCCTCCGATAACCTCCAATCGCGTCGCACCACGCGCCTCTCCCACTCTCCGTCGTGGAACCAGGTTGTTCGCGGCGAATCGGAGCCTGTTGCTGCGGTTCCTTCTTCTTCTGCTGCTTCTTCGCTGCTGTCTCAGTCGGTGGAAACTTTTCCCTCCGCCGCCGCACCGGGGGATGATTCTAGCTCCGCCTTGGAGAGTTCCGACGACGGCGGCGGGAACAATGGTGGCAGTGCTAAGAGGCCTGCTTGGAACAGGCTTTCCTCTAGTGGCGCAGTAGCTTTGGAGGTTCGGCCAGTGATGGACGCGCTGTCTTGGCCGGCGTTGTCGGAGTCCACCCGAGCTGCTATGAAATCGGAATCGTCGAAGGGTTTGGTAGATGGATCTTCTGTGCCGCAATCGCAGGTTTGATTCTTTGGCCATTCAGTCCAGTGTTTCAGTTGTTATAATCCCTGCAATTTCAGTATTCCAACCAGTTAGAGCTTGTAGCGTTGTTGTTGAATTGGAGTTTCGTATGTTCTAGATGGTATTAACTGTTTAGTGGCTTGCTTACAGAGTGTGCAGGTAACCCTTACTTATTCATTACACAACACTTATAGAGAAGAGTATTTTCCTTCTCATATCGGGCACAATATGGAAAATGCAAGTATTTCTTTGGTTTTTAGTTGTGGAAAATACTTGGAGCTACTGTATTGTGTGGAAACCGTTTTATTGTGTTGCTGTGTGTTATCAAGTGGGTGGATTGTGAAACGCATGATTTTTTAGTTTACAGGCTTATATGTTTTGTTTCTGTTGTTTGTATCTATGTGCATAGACATTGCTACTGTATTAAGTGCCAATTGTAGGGTTTGGGAAGCACGTCTTCTTCCTCATCACAGAGAGAAGTCAGTGATAATGCAAGTACAAACAGTGCAGTGCCAACTTGCCAGAAATCTTTCAAACATCATGGCTCGAATGCGTCTTTTAATGGTGGCCACACACAACAGTCTGCCTCACAAGTTTCAGTGGCTGCAACTGAGTTCCACAATTCCTCTCCAAAGGACCATACACAAAGAAGTGGATTTGTGTCCAATGATCATCCTCAGCCACGTAGTTCGTTTAGAAATCGTAATGGCGGCCCACACCAGCGAGGAGATGGTGCTCACCATCATAACTATGTGAACAGGCGTAATCAGGACTGGAATACTAATCAAAGTTTCAACAATAGAGATACGCATGTGCCACCGAGAGTTGTTCCAAGATTTATACGGCCACCTCCACCTCCTAATTCAGCTCAATTTTTTCACCCACCACCGGTGCGGTCTTTTGGTGGCCCCATCGGATTCCATGGTACGGTGTATTAATGTCATGATGATGTCTTTTAGAATATGAATATGCTCTGATGACTGTATTCATTTCCAGAACTAGCATCTCCACTGGTGTTTGTTGCAGCTCCACCTCCACCCCCGGATTCACTAAGAGGTGTCCCTTTTGTACCTGCCATGCCTCACCATACCCTGTTCTTTACAGGTCCAGACCCTCAGTTGCACAGTAAGATCGTCCACCAGATTGACTACTATTTTAGGTACTTCCTTTGCTTATGTCTGTTGGTATTTTGTTTTTACTTTCTTGTCTTTAATTGGTTTAGAAAGTTGACTGTAGACATACGCAACTTGTCTATTGCAGTAATGAGAATTTAATTAAAGATACATTCTTGCGGCAGAACATGGATGACCAGGGCTGGGTTCCAATAAAATTAATTGCAGGCTTCAACAAAGTGAGTTTTTGGTATATATGATTGGTTATGTATGTGTGTGCGCGTGGAGAGAATGAGATGGATTGCTTTTTTGTTTTCGTAACTGATGCATAACATTTGCTCATTCTTAAAAAATTACACAAGTAACTATTCTACAGTTGTGTAGAAGGATTAAACTATATCAGATGATCATCTGCCTTCTACTGGATTAAGTGGTCCGGGTGCTTCTTGGCAAATATTAGATCATGAGTCATGACTGGTGCATATGAAGTGTTTTTTTTAGATCAAATTATGTTTTAATTTTATTGCTTTTCCTTACAATCCTGTGGAATGACAAACGTTAGTAGCATATATTGCCTCCTTATGGATGCACATTTCGTATCATTTCAGTAGAAAACGTGTTTCTGAGTGGGGAAAAACTGGCCTTTCTAACATCAAGTTGTTGTATTAAAATCATCAAAGTGATGTTACGGTACCTTACAAGTGCCACATTTTATAGAGGGGATTCGGACACAAGTTAGCATTATACACTAAACACGTTTTAATGTTCTGAGGAGTTAAGCTGATCCTCCTTCTAGTTGTGGGAGATTCAAGAAATTTTCTTTAATCCTACATAGTTTTCTCCAATACGCAGTAATGAAGTTTTGTTAAAGTAATATGAATTTGGTTACAAAATAGAAAATGTTTTCTGAAACCAAATAGCCCCTAAGTTTGATTCTTTTAATTTTCACCTTTTCTATCTGTTCTCTTGGATTTAAAATTCAATGTTTTTTTCAATGCATTAAATAATATTGCCATTATACGGCCACCTCTGTATTTTGGCTTGACTTGGAATATTTACACTCTGGTGTATACAGAAGATTATCTCATTGTATCATCTAGAATTTTTATTGTGGCTGACACAGATGAAATGAAAATGGATTAGTGAATGTGTATGATTGTTTGGGTGTAATGCCTGCTTTAGTCTCCAGTTTTAGTATCTTCTATCTTCTAATGTTGACTATTTTAGTGGTGGTGTTCAGCATTTATCATCTAAATTTTGTAATTCTGATGTTCTTCAAGTTATGTATTCATTTAAAGTTCTCTTCTATTTGGATATGAGTTGTGGGATTATTTGCTACCCAATGACAAATCTTTTTATCTGTCAGGTTGTGCATTTGACTGACAATATCCAGCTTATATTAGATGCTGTCAGGACATCATCTGTTGTTGAAGTGCAGGTATTCTTTTTAATCTTGCATTGGAGATTTGAGCTATGAATTTTAATATAGACAAATAGACACGATTTCATTAGGAGTATCTAAGGAAAAGTTACCTCTTGTTTAAAATTTGTCGTCTTCTTTATATTGTAGGGTGACAAAATAAGGAGACGAAATGATTGGAGCAAATGGATCATGCATCCTGTTCTTCCTAATGCTACAAACCTTGGAGTGTTGAATCCTGACATGCTGGCAGAACAAGTACACAATATTGCTCTGGAGACAACTAACTATGATGGTGCAGGAGCACTAGATGTTCTACCAGATACTTCACAACATAGATCTGCATTTGGGGATTTGAGTAGTCCATTGCAGCTTTCCACTAGTGAGGGTACTGGTCAAGTTGGTATGGAAGGCTCAGATCACTCAATTTCAGCGAGAAATTAGAGCTGTAGATGTGCTTAGCGCTTTGTTTGTTTTGGAGAGCTCTAAAAGGGACAAGGGAAGCAGGTATCCAAAGAATGATCTCAGTTTTTGCATATGGCACAATGGGAAATGATTTCTCTCAGGCATATTTAGGATCACGTGATTGAGAAATGGGAGGAAAATACCTATTATAAACCAGAAGAAAGGACCAAATGGTAACTCCCCACCCCCTCCCAAAAGTACAGAAAAGGCTCTTTTTTTTTATTTTAAGTTTTTCTTTTTTGGTTGTGGAATTAGATGCAGGACTCTTGTGATGACTCTCTTTATGGGTATAATGTACTCTTACGGGGGATGTTTTGCTTCAATATGAGGGAATTTTGCCTTTGTTTCCCGACCGACCCTCAGCTGTTTTTTAAAATCTTTGGGGTCAGCTTCTCACCAATTTTAGGAGCATTATATTTGTTCATGGGTGTTGAATGTGTTTGATAGCTACCTGCTTCGACTAAGGGAAGAGCATTGTAGCTTTCTGCTGCTGCTGGAGCTTTGTCCCACAGCTTTAAAGAATGATTGCTTGATGTCACTTGCTATAATATGCGGTCACGTCGTATCTGGAATGACATTGATGTTTATTTTTTCATCTGTTAAAACTCACAAAAGCTCCGAAGCCGTAAGTGGTCCCTGTGGGGTTATTAAGTAATAGACTTTGATCGTCCGCGTTACAGCTGTGTAAGGTGGATATTTGCATGGAACCAGAAGCTATATTTTATTATTTCATAACGCCAGCCCTTCATGTTCCCCACCCCCGACAAAAAAAAAAGGTTTCAAACACCGTTTTAATTATTACGATGTTTGGTTTTTATATTTATAATATATTTATCAATGTTTAGTACGTCCTACAAATACTGTTCTAAAAATGCTATAAATTTTGAATGCCAGTTTTGAAATATAAAAACCATTTGTATTTCAAATTTATAAAAAAAAAAAAAAGAGCCCGGATTGATTTGAAATTAATGATAATTTTAATCAGATTCATTATATTTGCATAATAAGTGATTGTAACCATGGATTACTTCAAGGATAAAAGGCACCTTAACTGTCTTAATTTGGTTAGTTGCACTTTTCACCCTCTTAAATTAAATTAAGCACATTATACCTTCATTTAATATATTTTATTTTTTTATATTTTTAGTAGTTACTTTTAAGTATTGACTTTTTATTAAAAAAATGTTTTTAAAAAGAAAAATATTCTATTGTTAATTGTTATCTTCAAACAAGACATATTTTGACTTTTGTAGGCAAAAGGTTAATTAATAAAAATTACTAAAATAGTATATTTTTAAATAATTTACGCGAATAGTTAAAATCAATGGTGAAAATATTTTTACGGAATTTCTCTTGAAAAGGTATCACTAAACACGGTTTTGACACCTGACAATGTAAAAAAAAAACAAAGTCTAACGTACAAACATCATTACATAAGAAGGTGATACATGTCAGCTGCAAGTGAATTGCTCATGTTGAATAGGTACTACTCACAGGGGTGTTTTCCACCTATTGGACAAGCGCCACTTATGAAGTGTTGCTACGTATCAGTTACCATCATAGGGAAAGAGGAGGACTAGCAGCATAGAAGTATGTTTTTAAATTATTTTTAATTATTATTTGACTAGATAGTTATTTTATATTTAAAAAATAAAAATTTGATTTATTTACTTTTTTATTTGTTGTAATAGTTTTATTTTCTGAATTAAAATAAAAAAAATTAATTATAGGTTAGTTAATAAAAATTAGAAATTTTGTAGTTAATTCAGTACAAATTTGAAAATATATAGTTATGTTAATAAAAAGTTGAAAATATATAGTATGAGTTTTGAAATGTTATCATAAGAATTTAAAATAAGTTGAAACGTATATAAAATAGTTAATTATATATTTTTAAATTTTTACTAAATTAACTATGGAATTTCTAAAATTTACTAACTAAACTATAATTATTTTTATCTAATTTACTTAAAAAAACTATTACAACTAATAAAAAAATTCAATAAATTATATTCTTATTTTTTAAATATAAAATAACTATGCAATCAAATAATAATTAAAAATATATCTTTACGTAGCAATACCTGTCTAAAAAAGCAACTCACTTCTAACTGACACTTGACACGTGGCAACACCTCATGAATGGTGTCTGTACAACCAGAGCAACTCACTTGCCTATATGACACCTCTTTATGCAATGGTGTTTGTTGGTGGGACTTTTTCTTTTTCTTTTTTATACTGTGTCTCAACCGTTTTTAGTAGTACTTTTTTAAGATTTGTTTTACAAAATTTTATCATTCATTTTGTCTATTCTGATAAATTATTTTTAAAAAAAAATACTATTTTCGTAATTTTTATTGAGAATGTGTCAATAAATAATAAGCAAGATTATTTATCTTAATAAACTTTAGAATACGTAATTATTAATCTCTCACTTACTTTTCTCTTTCTATGACAACTGTTCACTTCATAATTCAATTATTTCTAATGTCCAATAGTTTACTCTTTCAAAACAACCTCACATCTTCTTCTCCAGACAATTAATTATTGTTTACTGTATACAATCAATATGAGTTAATATTGATGTCCAATTTAAATAAAATATATCCTGTTTGGAGATTAAATTTGATCTTCTATAAATATTGTTTAGTAAAAAAAAAGCGCTTCATTGTTAAAATTAATAATTTTAACATGTAAAAATAAAATTTTAATAAGTTATATTAAATTATGGTGTAATGTGCTTAATTTCATTAAAGAGGGTGACAAGTGCAATTAACATATTTTTGGAGAGAAAAACACTTTTTGCCCTTAAATCAATTAAATACAGAAAATGATTTGCAATATTCTTAAAAATATGACATAACACTTAAAATCCCTTAAATTTTATTTATTTACACAATTTTGCTATCAGGAGTATTAGAGAACGATCCCAAAATACTTTTTAGCACTAAATGTTTAGTGCTGAGAGAATCACACTCACCAAATAAAGGAATGGTCACAGAAGAATCAAACCGATCAAAAAATTATCGTACAAACTTGTGTTTCGATTTTGTTAGCATTAACTAGCAATTTTGTTTACATTGAGAACCTAGCCTTGGGACTCGAGGCAACTCAGGGTTAACTTGAGATTTATGAGGAGAAAGTATGGACCCAAATTCGAAAATGTTGTTGAAAAGGTTAAGAGATTGCAATAAGCTCGAGCATGAAGATTATGCACAAGACAAATTGGATATTGACGTAGATAAAGATTTGCTTTGGTGAGGTTGGTTGTTGAAGGGTTAGTGAGTCAAAGGTGAGGACTGAGGAAGAAGTAGGTGATGGATGATGACAATAGTCTGCTCATACTAAGAAGGGATTGAAGTGAGGTCTATGAAGGTGACCGGGTTTGGTTGCACGTAATCTTAGTGAATGAACATAGGTTTTGCTTTTAGGAGGTGGCTTTGAAGTTGATTAGTTGTTAGATGGCTTCCTTGGGAGGTGATATATATAGTGGTAGGTGGAAAGAAAAGAAAGAATGCAAAGGTTGAATAATTTAAAATACATTAAAATAATGTAAAGGATATAAAGTTATTAAGAAAAATATTACAAAAGAAATGGGCATACAACCAATGTCGTATCTTATTAGAGGGTTGATTCAAGCTATTCGATCCACCCTAGTTTAATGTAGGCAGTGGATTTATAAATAATTGATCACAAAAAGTTTAAAATTATTCAAGTTTATAAAATGGTAGTCTAAATTAAACTTTATGCAAGTAGTGACTTAGAGGAATTGACTTACATTAATAATAATGATGACAAATCAAACAATAAATGAATTAAATCAAAATGAGAAATTAAAACTAAAAAAATAATATTTTCAAAAATTAAAAAAAAAAAGGAATTTTAATAACTCATTGAGTTTTAATCTTCATTTTCCTATCTTTACAAATTCTCTAATTTTATTCTCTCTTTTATATTTTTTAATTAAATGAGAGGTTTAAAAGACTACAAAAGCTCTTTGTAAATGAAAATCTAAAATTGAAAAAAATAATTTATTAATTAATTAGAAAATTTTGAGGAAGAGTAATATATCATTATATCTATTTTATTACTTATGTTATGATATTTAAATTCACTTAAAAATAATGAAATAATTGTAGAATATAATCAAATATGTAAATAATTACTTTGAATCCTTTATAAAGGAAAAAAAATGAAATTTATTATTATTATTATTTTTAACCAAGGAAACTAAAGTTCAAAAAGAACAAAATTATAAATTGATACTAGAGTGTGTAAGAACACTTATTACATCATGATGAAATAGTTGATTTAACTCTAACAATGGTTAAAAATAAACTAATAGTGTTAAGTTACAAAGACAAGTTAGAAAGCATATCAGCACAAAGGTTAACCTTCTTATATATGTAGGTAACTTTAATATGTCATTTTAACTTGAGTAGGTCTTTTTATCATTTTCACTAAACTCCTTCTTTGATAGCTGCCTTCTTGATTGCTTTTAATGACTTTAGTTACCACCAATAAATCTATTTTCAGCTTAATGTGTTTGATTCCTAATCTCCAAGCAATATTCAAGCCCTCCAAGACTCCCCATAACTCAACTTTGTAAGTAGAAGTTGGTTCAAGATTTTTTTGAGAAACATGTTATCCATTATCCATTCTCATCTCTAATTATGCCACCACATTATGCAACATTAGTCTTCTTATAAGCACCATTAGTAGTCATGCACACCCAACCTTGAAAAGGATACCAAGCAATCATGCATTGTTTAATTATATACGGTCTATTTTGTAAATTATGTCACCTTATCATAATAACTTATGTACTAAATAATATTAATCAAAAGTTAGATGAGCTTAACAAAATTTTCCTCTTGTAGAGAAATTTCTCCAATACTAAATAAACCAATAAGTTGTAGTCTAAAGAACACAATATTTGTCTCTCCTATTTGTATTAAATGATTCATTTAAATTTATGTGAACTCATTTATTACAATCACGGGAGTAAAAATTTACTGACTTGCTTGCTATATAAAATTTGTTTCAAATAACCTGAGCTGCAAGAGAATCTCTTAATACATGATCCCTAGTCTCAATTTGCTTTGAACAATAAAATTTATAATAAACTAAAAAATCACACACCTTTCACATGAACAAATTAAAATATTTTTATTTTAAAATACAAATAATTATATGCATTTGCTAGGATAGTTTGGCATCAAATAACTTCATGGATTGGCTATCAAATTCAGATAGTAGGAACCACCGAGGCTAATGCTATGTACTTTTTCAACATTATTGCAGGCAAAAAGAGGTAGAAAATGAACTTAACTATATGGACTTTGGTCTGTTGGTGCATTTGGAAACACAAAAATGATGTGATTTTCTCTAATTTGGAAGTGTGTGCTAGCAAAGTAGTTGAAAGTATCAAATTAAAATCATAAAAAGCTATGGCAGGAAACTCAAGTTCAATGTCCTTTTCCTATTTGGTGTGGTACACTAACCTAGTGGATAGCTCTCAGCTATTATTTCTTTATTATAGTTGCTGTCATAGGTTGATTGGCTATGGTTATTGTCAGGAATTTGCAATCATGTATATATTGTCTTTGGTGTGGGAGGGGAGAATTTAGATAGTTATTAATTGTCAGGCTAGAACCATATTACTAAAAAAGAAAAGAAAGAAAGTTTGTTATTTTAGTTTGAATACAATAGTAACGTAGATTTGTATATATTTTTTGGGAGAATTAATTAGAATA